GGCTGCGGCCAGGAGGCGAGGGGACGGCGTCGGTTCTCCAGGGGGGTACAGACTCCTTAGAACGGCAGGAGCGACGGGACCTGCTCTCTCTTGCCTTTGGGGGCCTCTCCGCGGAGCCCCGAGTTCCCCACCCCGTGCCTGGAGTTCATGGGGTGGGGAAACTGGGGTGGCTGGAAGACAGGCCCGGGAGCTCGCCGCTCACCCCTTTCTCGGGCCCTTGCGGCTCAGTCTAGACCCGGGACCCACGGGTAGCCACCCCCAGACCCGGATTCATCCTGCGACCCCCAGATGCAGCCGGGGAAGGGGGAGCGTGGCTGCGGCTCCCCGGGGATGCGGGGGGATCCGGAGAGGGAATGGCTGAGAACGGGGCCCTTTGCGCTCTGCCCGGTTTTATTTGCAGAGCCCTCGGAGGAGGAGCGCAGCTCGCATCTCGCACACAGCCGGGGGGCCGGGGGGCCTGCAATTCCTCCCCTCTCCCCCCAAGAAGGGAACTGCTCCCTGAGATTTCCCCGGGCTGCTCCCGGGTAGGGGGGGCAGGTTTGGAGACGGGGTGTGTAGAGGTGCTGGGTGTATTTTTCATAGGTCTGGGGTTTTAAAAAAGCCGGGTCCCAGTCCTCGTGGACATCAGCAGCCGCGTTCAACGCGGGTCTGTGGCGGCCACCGACTCCACAACTCTGGCCGGACCCCTTGCCCCCAAACCCTCAACTGTTTTGCGGGGGGAATGGGGGGGTCGTTTCGCCAACCTCAGCACCACCGAGGCACTCCTCGGCTGCCTCGCCGCAGAAATGCGCGTGTCTCTCTCTGATGAGACCCAAATTTCTCCAGTTAGACCTGGAACTCGGTCCATTGTTCTGGCCTGTCTCCTTTGTTAATATTTAATTAACATAGAGGCGCACAATGGGGCGGCGAGGAGCCTCGGCGGCTTTGTGAGGCCCGAGGAACAGCGCGCCAGACCCCAGTGGCCCGCGGGAGCCTGGCAGCCCGGCCTGGCCAGCCTCGCTGGGTCTTCCTGGACTTAAAAAAAAAAAAAAAATTTTTTTTTAAATCCCCCCCTCCCCCCGTAAGATCACGTTTATGTTTCTTGGGGTTTCAGGAAAGAGCGAGGCAGAGAGTTTGCCTGCGGAGGTTTGGTTGTGTTTCCAGGACTCCTGAGTGTTTCGTTTTGAAAGAAAATCCAGGAAGAAAGGAAACTAAAAATTCTGCTTTGGGGGAAGATTTTTCTTTTCCGTAAAAAGGGGTGTGTGTGTGTGTGTGTCTGTGGGCTGGGCCGTGTCTGCAGGAGCCCCAGGAGCAGAAGAGTGTTGTGGGGTCCCCAGGCGCCTCTGGGGTGGGGGAGGGAGTGAAGGCGGAGACACCGGGTGCTGGGGCCAGAGGCTGCTGTGGTCCAGCCGGTGCCGGCCGCCTGGGCCTCTCTGGGCCTCACGGAGCCACCTCTGCCCCCTTGGCGCAGCCCCCCAGAGCCCCCTCTCACGGGGCGAATCCGCACCCGCCGATTAAGGCCTGGCCGCCCAGCCCGCGCCCTCCGCGTGTGTGCGATGGTGACTGTGAGTGTGCGTGTGGGGCGCGGGCCGGAGTGTGGGTGCGCTTTATAATCTAAAAGGCGGGGGTCTGAGCCCAACAGGCCCTTGGCCTCTCTGTGGCAGTTTACCTCCCTGGAGAGAGCGCTTAGCTGGCTGGGTCGCGGGGAGGAAGTTCTCCGTGCGGCTGGGTCCCTGGACCTTCCCAAACCCATCACGAAGGGCGGCCCCGGAGCTGTTGTCTCCCCAACCCTTGGTCCCAGTGGGGGTGCAGCCGCAAAGGGTGGCGGGCAGTCCCCCAGCCCTGCAGGGTGGGCTGGGGACGGGGTGGGGACCTGGGGTTCGGGCTGCCTGAGGTCTAGCCTTTTGCAGTCTCCAGCCACAGACGCCTGGTAGAAGTTGGGGTGGGGAGCTCCCCAAAGCGGATCCACTCACTTCACAGATAGAGACCCAGGGGTGCAGCCCCCTGCCCCCCACCAGCCGGTCCGGGCTCCTCTCTCAGACTCCTTCCCAGGCTGAGTTAAAACAAAAAGAAAATGCTTCCCCCGCGTCCCTCGCTCAGGCCTCTTCCTGGGGCTGGGTCCTGTGAGCCTGGCCGCCTCTGTCCCAAACCCACCTCTGGTGCTGCGAGGTGTCCTAGCGGGAGGGGGCCTGGGTGGGGGTCAGAACTGCGGGTTCTCTGCCCAAGGTCAGCCGGGCCCCCAGCAGCCTCCGGTGGGGGCAGGGACGGGCGGGAAACGGCGGTCAGCTCCGGGGCAGGGACCGGTCTCCTCTCTGTGCCGGGGGACTGGGGAGAGGTAGGGGGCTGGAGGGGGAGCCTGGGTTGGCGGGGCTGCTTCCCCACCCAGAGAAGGACACGTGTGCCCCTGTCCTTCAAGGAAACAATGAACTTGGGCCCACAGGGCCCGTGGGGGAGGCAGAAAGGGGACTGGGCTGGAGACGGACGTCTGGGCCCCTCCCGGCCTCAGGACCCACAGCCCTGGGCACCCTGTGGGTGTCCCCTGTGGGTTCCTGTGGGAACCCCTCCACAGCCGGCAGGGCTCCTCCTGCTACTCTTTCCCTTTCCCCTCACCTCTGGCCCAGCCCCTAAGCCCAGGCAGCCCTTATTTCTGGACAGAACCTCGGAAAGGGCTGGGAAAGGCCAGGCCAGAAAGTTGGGGGGATCTGCTTCCCTGCACGAGTTTTCCTTTTCTTCTGGAGACGTTTCCCTGAAGTCTGCCCTGTACCCCTACTCCCACCCTCACTAGACTTCGCTGGCCCCTCGCCTCACTCCCCAGGGTGGGTCGTGGAGGTGGTGGTGAGCCCAGGCTCCCAGTCCCCCCAAGTCCCGGTCCCAGCCCAGCCCCGACTCTCCTCCAGGTCGGCCCTGCGACCTTGGGCACCTCCCTGCGCAGCCTGGTCCTCCCCGCACCTGCGGGGTGACCCGGGTCGGAGCCAGCAGGCGGGTCCGCAGCCCCTCATTGGTGTTCTCTGTCCCCCACGCCTACCCAGGCCCCAGGTCCCGCAAACCAAAGAAGAAGAACCCCAACAAAGAGGACAAGCGGCCGCGCACGGCCTTCACGGCGGAGCAGCTGCAGAGGCTCAAGGCCGAGTTCCAGACCAACAGGTACCTGACCGAGCAGCGGCGCCAGAGCCTGGCCCAGGAGCTCAGCCTCAACGAGTCGCAGATCAAGATCTGGTTCCAGAACAAGCGCGCCAAGATCAAGAAGGCCACGGGCAGCAAGAACACCCTGGCCGTGCACCTCATGGCGCAGGGCCTGTACAACCACTCCACCACGGCCAAGGAGGGCAAGTCGGACAGCGAGTAGGCCGCGGGCCCGGCCCGCCCGCGCGTCCCTGTGCGCGCCAAACAATGCAATAATTTAAAGCGATCAAAAAGGGCCAGTGTATAAAGATTATACCAGCATTCCTAGGGAAAAGATCGTGTATTAGCTACGGTTCTGCAATATTCTATGTGTATATAATTTACAGGTGATGTAAAATCCAAAATATCTGACTATAAAATATTTTTTTGATTTTTTTATGTTTATGAGATTATGCTAATTTTATGAATTTGTTTATTTTTATTTTTTTGCGAAGGGGGCTGCTTAGGGTTTCATCTTTTTTTTTTTTTTTTTTTTTTTAAATCCCCTAAAGCTCCATATGG